AATGTTGTTTGTCTGAATTATTCATGTTCATGATCATTGAACAGAAGCAGAGGGTACTAAATCAGGAAAAATAATTCCTGATTCTTGGAGTCATTCAAAAGACTTGGCCATTACTGGGTCTTTTTTTAACTTCATTTTCACCTCCAGGTTTGCAGGTGAGGAAGTGCTAAAACCTTGAAGGGTCTCACATCAAAACTCGGCAGACATTTGGGTAGACCACTGGAGAATCCGGAATTTAAAATGTCTTTCATCTTGTCAGTCTTGAATACCATTTCTGATCCTGAATATTGTTCCTGAATGTTCTGTCCCTCCTCTTCCCTTGACAGGCTATAGAGTAGATCTTGTCATTGTAATGCTCTGAAATCTGTAGATGATAGTTAAATCATAGAATTAGAGCAGACTAAGAAATTATAAATATCCTCTCAAGTTTTTAAAATAACCAAAATGATTAGGCTTGTTTGTTCAAGGATTCAAAGTGGATCCATTGTTTTTTAGCATTAAAAGTGGGGGTCACAGCCTCAAAGTAAGGTTCCATTTCACGAAAATCATGATATTTTTACTAGCAGTTGTTTCCTTAAGTAAGAGAAAAACAATACTAATTGCATATGGGGTAAAGGACTACAAAATGTACTTAAAAACCTGGGACAAAGGGCAAAACTTTGCAGATTCACTCAGGCCACAGAAATTCTGCATGAAGAAGAATTTGATGAAGAGTTTACCTGTAATTTTGTTGGTAGTTTGTGGATAGTTTCATCCTTTGTAAGAATAGAAATGAAAACTACCCTGTATTTCAGGAGTCCCTCACCCTAAATCTTGTATTGAGTTTAGTGGTTCAAAAAGGCAAATCAGTATTTGGACTCTGGTTCTAAAATCATCAGAGGCCTCCAGGACTCTCCTGGCTCCCGCTCTGTAGGTTTTTCCACACTGGAGCCAGTTTTTTTTTTTTTTTCCTGTTTGATAACCTTTATGTGCACTTATGAGAAGCCTCTAAATAGCATTAGAATTTTTAGAGTTGAGATCTGGTATAATCCTCTGATCTGTGGAAAATAAATAATCAGCGGCAGCATTATAAGATTATAAAAAGAGAAAGAAAAGAGTGGCAGTGGAAAGGAAGAAAGCAATTAGACTTGAGAGCTTTTAGGATCATTATGGTGAGTACAGATGGAAGAGAGCATTTACAGGAAGCAAATGCAGAAATGTCTATATCAAATTTGGTGCCTTCATAAGGGATTACTGAAATGAAGGCTCTTTGGATGGATGTGGTCGATGGATTTATCAGTCAGCGACTGCTGAAGCTAAAGCTGTGAGAATCTTGATGGGAGTAGTCTAGTAGAAAAGGAATAGAGAATTAGCTAGTGAATGCTTTGGAGTAAGAGGCAGGAACCTTGTTCTAACACAAGCAATAACATCTGATGTTGGTTTTGAGTATGGAGAGTTGTAGGCAGTTAATTAAAAAATCAAAAATATGAGAAAGCAGGATAGGGAACTTCACATTTAATTGGAGTGTTAAAATCATCAGTCTGGCTGTTAACTAGCCTGAGCGAATTTAATTAATAACTCAGTAATTCATAACTGGATTGTCTTTGGATAATCTCAATATTATTTTTCTCTTTTTGTTGTTTTTTCTTGTTGCAGGATTCACATCAACAGTTCTGCTCATTTCCTCACATAGTCTACAGCATCTACATACCTCATTTTCTGCCATGAAGTTGTTTAAATTATGGAGTCTAAAATTCTTGTGGACTCTGAAGCCTCCTAACAGGAATTTCCATGGACACTCCAGGCTGCTTGCCTCTGATGTCCATTCCCAGTATGAGCCCATCAGGCGGGGCAAACAGGAACTACCAAAGTACTTTAACTATGCAAGTGATGTTCTGGACAAATGGGCTGAGATTGAAAAGGTAGATGATCTTTTGTTGTGCCAATGAGATACTCTGATTTGAAATTCGTTTGAAATTATTTGGGTCTGGAGGCAATTAGGTTGGTAAACATTTCAGATTCAGAAAAGCAGAATCTATTGGGAATACCTGAGCGTGATGCATAGCACATCTCAATCCATTTAGGACAAGGGAAAAACAACAGCTTATATGCCACTTGTGGAATACCCAGATCTTCCATAATTTGTAGGTGGTTTTGCATTATAATTTCATGGTCTGTCAGAAGAAAATGTTTTGTGTTTGATTCCTTATGCTTTGCAGGCTGGAAAGAGACCACCAAACCCTGCGTTTTGGTGGATAAACGGAAAAGGAGAAGAAGTGAAGTGGAGCTTTGAGGAGCTGGGGTTCCTGTCTCGGAAAGTGGCCAA